GTTGGTGTGTCATTGTTCCTTATCCTCTTGGTCCCCAAGGCAGGCCCATGTGCCGAGGCCCTAGCTGCTGCCGGAGTGAAGAGAGCAGGGGCGTTGACCAGGGTTGAGATTCCAGGCCCAGGTGCCTCTCTCTTCAAGCATCTTCTCCGAGTGCTGACCACAGAAACCCAGTGGTCCTGGGCAGCTGGGGACGGCGTGGGCAGTTTGTGTGTGTGCAGGGAGGGTAGGAGTGGATGAAGTTTCTTTTCTGCCCATGACCTCAAACTGTAAGTGGTGGGGATGAGGCTGAGCCATGGGATGAAGCTGGCTGAGGGGAGAGGATGGTTATAGAAGAATTTCCCTCGGGGACAAGGAGTGGAGGCCTTGGGACTGGAAGGGTGTCACCATAAGGGGGAGTAGCAGAGGGTAAGACCCCTGCCATCTGGGTCTAGCAGTGGCTTCAGCCACAGGGCAGGCCCCTGTTACACCCGTGTCTAACTGCTGAGAAAAGCGTGGGCCCCCTTTTCTCCTATGCTGTTTTTTATGGCCTTGTGCCTGTGCCCCTAGTTTCTGAGGGTGCTCCCTCCCACAGCTCTCCAAATAGCCATAGGTGCTGGAGATCAGGTGTGGGTTTGGATCTGGCTCCCCACTGGCAGAGAGGGAGAGGGCGCTGAAGGCCATGCTCACCGGTGTCCTTGGGGGAGCAGGCTACTTGCCCTGCCCCCACCGAGCCCCTGCCTGGGGGAGCCAGGCTCTGTGTAGGGAGACAGACAGACCCCTGGCGGCCCTTGGTGGCACCCAGAGTTGCCATTGCTGCTTCTGTGGTTATTGTCAGTCCTTCACCCCTCCAGCAGGGCAGCTTTTGGGACTGCTTGGGTGCCCTTGGCAAGGGCATTGCCTGTGGGGTCCAGGCTGGGTGGGTGCTAACAGGTTCTTGTTGGCTCCTTGGCCAGGTATGCCACCCCTCCCAGACATCCTGTGTCCTCACCTCCTGTTTCCATCAGGATAAGATTTCAGGTGCCTAGCCCAACCCGGCAGTACTGGCTTTGTCCCCACCTTCCCCCAAGTCACTGTGATTGGTGTTTCTATGGCCTTCATCTTTTCCAAGCCAGGGTGAACCCTTCCCTCTCTGGGCCCTTTGAGCTCTGTGCTGGGCACCGGAGCCCCATGTGGCGAAGGCTGAACCCCCTGCTCAGGTTTGGATGCTGGCTGCAAAATGAGAGCGTTGCATTCTGGGTAGGCCCCCAGGTTCCATTAACTCTGTCTTCCAAAAAAAGTTCACTGCCATTGAGTCCGTTCTGCCTTCTAGGGACATAGTGGGTTATATGTTGGGCTGCTAACCCCAGGTAAGCGGTTTGAAACCGGCAGCCTCTCCATAGGAGAAAGATGAGGCTTTCTGCTCTTGCAGTCACAGCCCTGGAAATCTACAGGGCTGTTCCACCCCGTCCTCTGCCTGGAGGGTGCTGCCCTCTGCCCCAGTGCCCGGTAGGGTGTGGTTATCCTGCAGCCGAAGTGGGGAGGGGTGGGCTCGCAGGAGTGTTTCCAGTCTTGGCATTAACCAGGAGGCTCACGGTTTTGTCTCCCTCCACAGCCTGGACGTGTCTCCTCAGGTAGAACCTGGCCCGGCCGCTCTTCCTCACCACCTCCCCCGCTCCCCCTGTGCTCCGGCCCCTGCTGCTCCTGCTCCCATGCTAAGCACTAACCTTTCTGCAGCCGCCTCCCCTGCCGCTGCCACTGCTGCCGCCACCACCGCCACCCCCGAAGCCGTCCCGCCTGGAGCTTCGGGGTTCACCAACCCGTTCCTCTCCTCCCTGCAGAACAGCCCCTTCTTCAATGAGCTCCTAGCCCTCCGAATACTAAACTGCCCTTCACCTGCCCCCTCTCTCCCCAGTGCCTCCAGGGCCAGCCCCACGCCCCTGGCCTCCCCAGGGAAAACCCTGCCTGAGGGGGACGACACCTTCAACGTCTTTGCTGCCGACAGGCTGTGTGCAGAGGCCAGGAGCGAGAGCCGGGGCCCTGCAGGAGTGGGGCTGGAGGCAGCTGGGCTGCAGGCGCCAGGCCCCGGGGCCGTGGCTGTGGCCTTGAAGGCATCTGAGCCCCAGGGAGCCCCTGAAGGAGAAGGAAGAGATGGTAGCCATGTGTGGCCGGAGCCCATGATGCCTGTGGACCTGGGACTGGACCGTCCGAGCACAAGTGGGGCCCCACCGGTGCCCCTTGGCCTGGAAGGGGCCGGCCTGCCCGCTGCATCATCCTCCGCTCAGTCGGAGCCAGGCAGGGAGCTCCTGCCCCCGGGAGGGGGTGCAGGACAGAGCCCAGCGGACAGTGCCACGTCCCTGTTCAGCTCCCCAGAAGTGATCAGCCTGTGGGAGCGGCTGCCCGGCCCGGAAGACACCCCAGAGGGCCAGGGGAACGGAGAGGCCTCGGGAAGTGAGAGCCAACTTTTCCAGGAGCTCAGTTCAGCCAGCGATGCCTGGCCTTGGGACGTGGTCACCGTTTCTCCCGCCCCCGAGCCATCCTCGCCAGTCCTGCCTGGAGAGCTGGGTGCGCTGCCTCCCTGCCAGGTGCAGCCAGAGCCACCAGAACCCGGAAGTCCACCAGGCCACCAGCCAGCCACGGAGAAGGTGTCAGAGGAGGGGCTGCCGCCTCCCAAGCCCCCACGTCTCTTCATACCGGGACATCCCCGGGAGGAAGAGGAGGAGGAAGATGAGGAGGAAGAGAAGGCTGCAGGGAGGCTGTATAACCGGGGGCCAGAGGCAAGGGAAGATACCTTCCTGAGCACGCTGGCTCCTGTGCCCCCAGAGGCCACAGAGGAGGGAGAGAAGCCCAAGTCGGAGTCTGACAGCCACTCTTCTGAGACAGTGCTGGGCGAGCCAGGCCGGGAGGATGCCAGCCCCCCTGTGCCAGGGTCCTGCCTGTCTCTGCCCACCAGTTGTCCCGAGGGCCCTGCGCACCCACCCTGCTCAGATGGCTTGGCTCTTGAGAGTCCTCAGATCCCGCAGGCTCCAGAGAGAGGAGAAGCCCCCGGGGCTCCTGGGGCCCAGAGCCAGGGACCAGCAGGAGAGGAGCTTAGACCTCTGTCAGTCAGCTTCCATCCGACTGACGTGTGGGCCTCGGAGGAGGGTGCTCTGAGCCCCTTCTTGTCTCAGGGGAGCCGAGACCCCCCCAGCTTCCCGTCCTCATCTCCTCCAGGGTCCCAGGACTCTTCTATCCACTCTGGTACAGAAGAACTGCCCACCCCGCCGGAGCCTACCTTCCCACCACCCCCTCTCCCACCCTGGGCCAGCCACCTCCACGCGGCGTTCAGCCCGCCGTGTGCCTCTCTGCCAGGAGCCTGGCCCCCGGCCTCTTCCTCTCCAGCCCTGGGGGGGCCAGCCTCGCCCCCAGGACCCTTTGAGCCCTCCCCTACTGAGGGCTCACCCACCCCCCTCAGGGAGGACCACGCTGCAGCCACCCCAGCCTCCCCGCTTGTGCTTCTGCCCTTGGAGACACGCCTAGTTGAGGAGCCACAGCCCAGTGCCAGGTGAGCGCCCCCTCCCAAGCACCCCCCCTGGGAAGAAGGGGCTGGATTAGGGCGTTGGCAGGCAGGCAGTGTCCTCCTTCCCCAGGGCAGGTGAGGGGCACGACCTGGGAGGCAGGATGGTGGGGGCTTTGATGACAGGGGCTCTCTGTGGTTTCAGCCTAGGGCTTGTGGGGTGACCTGAGGAACTGCAGGAGATGGAGGATGGAGCTGGGGAGGAGCCGAGGGGGCCTTTCCAGAGCCCGATGCTCATGTGTAAGGGGAGCTGGCCACCTGTGAGCTGCCGGGAGGGGGCTTACCTGTTCCAGAGCCTGCTGCTCTTCTGGGGGCAGGGCAGAGGGGCTGGCTGGAAGCACAGGCCATGGCTCTTTCCAGTTCCCTGTCCAGACGGGAGTGGGGAGCAGGTTGTGAAAAGCAGAGGGCCAGCAAGGAGCCAGCACTTAAACGAGGGAGGAAGTTGGGAACACCTTGGGGGGCAGGCAACAAAAGAAAACTGAAATACTTTCTGTGCATGTGACACTCGATCCCCCCACCCCCCACCCAAGAAAAGGACTAGGGCATCCAGTGCTTCATCAGTGTACATTTTGGGCCTTCTTGGGGCAGGGGGATGGTGTCCTGATGCTTCTGGGTAGTGTGCAGTGGATAGTGGCTGCCTGGTGGCTGGACGCTGTGGCACTGTTCTGACTGGGAAAGAAGCTGGAGGCTGTGAGGTCTTACTAGGTGGCTGATAAGAGGGGACCAGAGTTGAGGTCTGGAGACACAGGTCACGGAGTGGTAATGGGGTGTGACTTGACAGGGGTAGGAAAGTCCAGAGGGCCTGTCAGGGAGGCCAGAGGACTGGGCAGGCCTTGGGCTCCAGGCCGGCCCCTCAGAAGCACCTCCGAGGCCCCTGCTGTCCTGCCAGCCCAGGCTCACACACCAGTGAGCAGTAAGCATGCCCTGTGCAGAGCCTGGAGCAGAGATGTGGGACACTCTCCCCGCAGACTTGGCTGGAGAGAGTGGGGCTTGGGGGAGCTCTGTCTCTGATGCTGCTGTACCCCAGCTGCACTTCTTACCCGCCTTCCAGCTGGCTTCTGGCACTCGGTGTGATTCCAACACCAAGTGAAGCCTGTTTCTCAGCTGACAGGGACCCTCAGCTGCATGAGGACGGTAGACTGAGTCCAGGTCTCTGGTTCCTTGCTCAGGGCGCTTTCCTGCCACACTGGGAATCCCTGCCCCCTTGCCCTGCCACCCCCCCCAAAGAATCCTTAATGCAGACTGCTGGGGGTGGGGGAAAGGACACAGAAGGCCCCCAGGCTGGGCTCTCTGCCACAGCTCTGTCCTGATTACAGAGCTGGCTTCTTTGCAGGGTCTCAGCTCACACCATTTTGTTTCTTGTCCCTGAATGGTCCAGCCCCTCTTTGGGGACAGGATTACTGCCATAGGTGCAGGACTCTAGAGATAGGTCACGTGAGTCAGCTAGAGGGAATCTGGGGGGCTTCCTGGAGGAGGTGTCCTTGCATGGACTTAGGACATGAGTTCTGAGCCCGCAGGCCGAGAGCAGGGGGCAGGAGGCAGAGTGAGCCTGTGTGCTTGTGGCTGGAGGAGCACGGGACTGGGTCGGGGTTGGGGGGCGGGCATAGGCTGGCTGTGCTGAGTTTTGTGCCCCCTTCCCTTGTAGGGGCTGCTAAAGGGCTTGGACTTGCTGGTGGGGCCTTGGTCTCAACACAATGGGGGTGGTTGGAGGTGGGCGAGCCCCCCCACCCCCTGCCCATTGGGAGAGGATTTAGCTGCTAAAGCTGGGAGGGAGGGAAGGAGAGAGGGAGGGGTGGCAGGGAAGGTGGCCAGGGTGGCCCTGAGCCAGGCCTGAGGCTGAAGGAGGACCCAGGTTTCTGGTATGGGTGCTCACCCTTTGCATTAAGGATGGGGTGGGGTAGAGAAATGGTTCTAGGGCTTCCTAGTGTGGGGTGTGTGTGTGTGTGTGTGTGTGTCCGTCCCAGTGTGGCATGAACGCACCCCAAAAAGGGAACAGAAGTCCTAGGCTCTGCTCTGGTTGCCCTCACAGAGGCTGCTGGCGAGGCAGGGAGTGCCGGAGGAAGGGCAGCTGGGAGGACAGGGTACTGTTCTGAGGTGGGCCCCGAGTGGAGAGAGCCAGTCCACGATCATCTGCAGGGGGCCAGGTCTGGGTGGGGGGCGGCACCAAGGAGGTGAAAAGAGCACACCAGCAACTGAGCCTGAGGAGAGGCCACGAGAGGTCAGAGCCTCAGAGTGAGGTCATGAGTGGAGAAGGGAGGGAGGAACGGGTGAGTGGTGCTCCGGCAGGGACCTGTCCTCTGGGGCTGCTGGGGCTGGCATCCTAGTTGGATGGGCTGAATGCCATCTGCATTCTCTGGGAAGCTGGCAGGAGAAGGGTGTTGACAGAGGGGCCATGGGGGGTGGCAACCGAGTGGACACTTGGTGCTTCCCTGTGATGGGAAGCGACCCACCCCCCTCTCTGTTTGTCCAGGTTGCTCATGGTTTTAGCACTGAAAGCCCGCCACCTGGGAAGCACCCCATTCCTGAGGGTGGCTGGTTACCGCCCCCCAAAGGAGGTTACAGTGGGAATGGGGAAGGAGGGCAGCTGGAGGCAGGGGACGTGTGCGGGAAGACTGGCTGTGGGGGTGCAGGGAGCCCCTGCTTTCTCTGGGGAGGGGCAATGTGGAGGGTGGCTCGGCGGCTACCCTGGTGGGCTGGACTGGGCAGGAGGCGCCTCACCACTGGCCCCACAGAGAAGCTTGCTTTTTCCTTCTGCTGCCCGACCCGTCTCCTGTCTGTCTTTACAGTCCCCACCCTGTGAAGCCCCTCAGTGCTGCCTCCGTGGAGGGCAGCCCCGACAGGAAGCCGCCCCGCTCCAGTCTGAGCACAGCCCTGAGTAGTGGCCTGGAGAAGCTAAAAACAGTCACTGGCAGTGTTCCGCCCGTGGCTCCTGCCTTCCAGGCTGCGGAGGCCAAGAGGCTGAAGGTGAGGCTCAGCAGGGCTCTCAGGGGCACCCAGTGAGCACCTGGGTGGGGAGGAGCACGGGGGCAGGGTGGTGGAGAGGATGGGGGAGGAGCATGGGGGCTTGAGGCCACCCCAGAAGTCCTGAAGCCAATGGGCCAACCTTGACACTGGAGACAAAGGCAGCGCCAGGGGCTGGTGGTGGTGGGGCTGCCCTTCTGACTCTCCCCGTGTTGGCCTCAGGACTCAGGTGCCCTGGACCAGTCTGCCAAGTACTACCACCTGACGCACGACGAGCTGATCAGCCTGCTCCTGCAGCGGGAGCGGGAGCTGAGGCAGCAGGACGAACACGTGCAGGAGCTGGAGAGCTACATTGACCGGCTGCTGGTGCGCATCATGGAGTCCTCGCCCACCCTGCTGCAGATCCCCCCTGCAGCCCCCGAGTAGCCCTGCCTCCCGCGCTCACGCTGACCCGGGGCAGGGTGCGGCACCCTCCTCACTCCCTGCTCCCCTCTCCCTCCTGCTTCCACCAGAGCTGCTGACCTGACAGGGTGCCCTTTGGACTCCTGTTGTGGGGCACCGGGCTCCGTGTACAACTTGTGGATCTCTGGGAGCCCTGAGTCATGCCATGTAGCTTTGGGGGGGCCCAGGGAGTGAACCCCTCAAGATAAGCCAGCGGTGAGCTGCAGTGCAGCATGGCAGCCTGGGGCCAGGCTGGTTGCTGACACGTAACTTTATACCTCTTGAAGATGCTCAGCCATTCCGTCCGCCCCACCCCCCACAACGCCCATCTTTTTTACCCCCTGCCCCCGCCCAGCTTCTAAGGGGGCTCTCAGTATTGCCAGACTGGGGCAGGCACCGAGCTGCCATCTGTCTAGTGCGAACAAGAGGCCTGTGTGGGCAGGTCTGGTCTCTGCCACGTCCTGAGTCTGGGTCTGTCACTAACCGAGTAAGGAGCGGAGCTGTGTGATGGTGTGCACTGTTCCCTGCATCCCCTCTTCTGACCTCTCATCCAGTGTCACCTGGAAATGTGTGAGGAGAAGGGCTGGTGGGGCACCCACCACACTCCCAGGTGGGGCCCCTCCAGGGCTCAGGGCTCTGGGGTTAGGCCTCCACCGTGTTCGCTCTGCCCAGCCAGATGCCAAAACTCTGCTCTGCTGCAAGCTCTGAACTTTTGGAAACCATTGACAATGTGCCTTTTGTGGAGGGGTTAGGAGCCCCTCCCCTTCTTGGCATCTCCCCTTCCAGTTGAGCACCTTTTGGACTTGGATCTGCCCTGGCTGAGGTGGATGGGCAGTATCATGAGAGTTCCCACCCTGCTCCCCATACCCTTAGGGTTAATTCCATTTAAGGGTCTGGCCAAGCTGCTGCTGCTGCCCCCTCCATCACCATCACCCCCATCCCCACCCCCCAGCTCCCGGCTGGCTGCCTTCAATCCCCAATTAGCGAGGCCTGGGATCAAAGTGAGAGGTCCCATTCTGCCTGTGGGAGACAGCTATTGGAATGAAAACATTTTTGGCCTGCCCATCCATTCTCTGAGCTGCTGCCACAGGTGCCCCTTCTGCCCCTCGGTCTTGCCTGCAGTGCCCTGTGAAATAAAGTGTTAGTCTTTTGGCCTAGCACCCAGTTTGCTTGCAGAAAACATGACAGGCTTCCCCAGGGTACCTGCAGGCTTGGGTACTCTGTCCTAGTGTGTGATTGTCAGGTGGGGTGTGGGACAAGAACGTGCTGAGGGGAGGTGCCTCCCAGGGAGGAAGTGAGAGCAGGGCTGGGGGGTGGGGGACACTGTCAAAGCCTTGGGAGGAGATGTGCTCTGGGTGGTGTCTGTCTTCTGCAGCCCGACACAAGGGGACAGCCCCTACACACCACTCATCCAAGCTGAGAGAGGAAGGACTGGCGGTGGCCGGGACTGCCATCTCTTTGAGGGGGTAGGGGGGATACATTGGGGTTGGAAAAGTATTTATGGGGGGTGGGGTTTACTCCCCTGTTTGGTATCCCCTGGGTATCCCCGACTCCGATTTCCCAGATACTTTTGACTATGGGCCTCCCGCCTGCCCAGGGCAGAGATGTCTGTGGGAAAACATTGAGTTGTAGCCCAAGGTTCCTGTTCAGTTGTCTCTGTTTCCGGACCCCCATCTGAGAAGAGCTGTAGATGAAGTGGGTGGGGAGCAGGCACCCATCTGCTTTGCTGTTTGTCTTCCTGGTTGTAACTCCTGTCCATAAAGAGCTTGTTCTTCAATGTTTCCAGCACTTTATGAAGAATAAAAAAGTTCACATACGGTAGGTGGCTCTGTTGTGTTCCTGTTTAGGAGTGAGGGAGGTTTCCTGGTGAGACGGGTACACTTTGATCAAGGTGGGGAGGCTCTTGACTGCCACCACCCTGCCCTAACATCAGGGCAGCAGGGCAGTATAGCCCAGGGCACCAGATTCAGCTTTTTTCTCCCTCAGAACACCTACATCCATTGGTCACGTCTTTATAAATACATTTATTTGGCACTGAGGTGGCATACCAAAACTAAACTGCCATCCGGTCGATTACCACTTAGAGCGACCCTCTAGGGCAGGGGAGAAGTACCCCTGTGGGTTTCCACCATGGTAACTCCTTACGAGACTCGAAAGCCTCATCTTTTGCCCAGTGGGAGAATACAGAGGGTGAACGATTTGATTCCTCTTCTCAAAGGAAGAGAAAAATCCGAGGTACGAATGCGTCTTCGTGGCTAGCTAGAACTTCTCTGCGGCTTTGTAGAAGCCTGTTTCTGTGGCTCAGCCACTGGTGGGCAAGGAGCTCTCACCATGACCAGATCTTGTGGTGCCTAGAAAGACACGGGTAGGCATGGACCACTAAGACCGAGGTGACCCCACGTGGGGTTCACTAGGGACGAGACCAACTACTTCTATTGCTCTCTTTGATGAAGTAAGAAACTGTCTTTCACCAGTTTGGCCTACTGCCCAGATAATTCTACTGGGAATCTTCTGCCCAGGTCTGCACAGGGGTTTTCTTTATTGGGGCTGGTACCTTGCTCTGTGATGCTGCACGCCATGTTACTGACAGATCTGTATGAAGAGCGTGATGTATGTTACTGAGCACCCCCACCCCCACTTCTCTCCCGGCCCAGGAATTAGGCAGGAGGCTACCAGGGTGCTAAGACCCTCCCCCAACCGGAACTCCTAGTTTAACTCACCAACTAATGCCTCTCTCCCCTGTGAGCCCTGAGGACTTGGCAGTGAATCAGTCACTATCCTGCCCTCGTGGATCATAGAGTGGGAATTAATGAGACCTGACCTACTATCATGGAGTCGATTCTGATTCATAACCACCCTATAAGGCAGAGTAGAACTGATTCATAGCCTTCCCACGGCTGTAAATCTTTGCCGGAGCAGACAGTTTTATCTTTCTCCAGTGGAGCAGATAATGGGTTTGAATAGCCTATCTTGTGGTTAGCTGACCAGCAGGACTCCTATAAGGAAACTATCTGCAAAACCATAAATACAAGTGCAAGGGCTGCCAAAGTAGCACTAGGTGCCGTAGGAATATGTACCATTCTGTGGAACGTAGGCAGTGGTGCAGGAAAACGCACCGTTGAGGCTGAAGGCAGAGCAAGCGTCAGGGTAAGATGAAAAGTTTAAAGAGCTTCCTGGACAAAGGGTACACAGGATGTTCAAGGGCCTGGGACGGCGAGCACCTCCCAGTATGCTCCAGGAACCCCCCGGGCGCGTGGCGACAGATGAAACTGCATGAAGCCACCGCAGTGCCAACTTGCCCAAAGTCCTTCCCAGATTAACCTTAGTCCGCCTGGAGTCCTTGTCCGTCAAGCCCCCTATCGGGTCCGTTGGGATCGGACCCTTCTCCTGAGCTGCAGCTTCAGGAGCACGTCCACGGCAGCCCCTCCAAGGTGTTTGCGCCTGTCCAGGCTCCGAGGAGGCGCGCACACCCGCCCCGGAGCGCAGCCACGGCGGTGCAGAAGCAACTCTCCGCAGTCCGCGGTTGTCAGGTTCCGCGACTAGAAAAACCACACTCCCCACAAGCCCTTGCGCCTCCGGCTCGCTGCGGTTGCTTACCGCCAATCGCGAGCGGCAGCTGTGGCGGGGGCCGAGGAGGGACATTTTAAAAGGGCCGGAGATTGCGGGCGTCATTGGCCATGGCGGATACCGCGACTACAGCATCGGCGGCGGCAGCCAGTGCAGCGAACGCCTCGACCGATGCACCCCCTTTCCAGTTGGGCAAACCCCGCTTCCAGCAGGTGAGGACCAGGCTGTGGGCTGACGGTCGGCGGGTGGCAGGGTGAGGGCTAGCAAACTCCCCTCAAAGTCCCCGTTAGCCTTAGGGTCTCCGACCCGCGGCCACTAGAGCCTGCAGCTACTGCCCAGGGGCTCGCAGCCACCGCCGCCCCGTTCTTATTGGTCTGCTGTGTAGCGAGCCCTCCCATCCGGGCTCTCGATTGGCGGGTGGCGCTGTCACTCCTCGACTGCCCTCACCCTCCAGCCATTCCCGCCCGAGGCGCCCTGTGATTGGGCGCCGCCGGACGGGCCGGGATCCGAGGCGCCCGGGTCCCAACCGCTCTGTTCGGCTCGCGGCGGCCGTGCGTCCGCTCTCCTGCGGACAAGAAGTTCGACTCCCGCTCGGGATGAGAAGTTGGCATGGCGGAGATGCCGTGTAACTTTTCCTTCCCGGGCGACTGGCGGAGCCGCGGGGCAGCGTCTGCGCCGGTGGCCGCGCTCCCAACCTCGGAGCCGGTGCCCGAGGGACTGCGGTGCAGGCTCAGGCCCTCCGGGCGGGAACTCGCGGACACAGCCCCCCGACCCCGTGGCCCCTGCGGGCGGGAGAGCGCGCGGAGGAAACGCTGTGTCATCTCCAGGGTCGGCGCCCCGGGCACTCCGCCAGCCCCGCCCGCGCTGCGTCCTAGGCAGGCTCTCGGCGGTGCCCGGTTCTGCCCGGCCGGCTCGGGCACCGGGGTACAATGCTTGTACCCCTCCGATCTGGGCTCGCCTCC